AGTGATTGTGTTTATTCTTGTTTTTTCCAAAGACGATTAGCCTTAGGAAGCCACAGCAGTTCTGTTCCCTCCCACCATTGGAGGAAGCACATCACGCGGCCTTTAAGTCTGTGACATAAATGGAGAAATGTATGCTGTGATGTCTCCCCCTGTAGCTTTTATTAACTGTGTTTGCTGGTGTATTTGCATTAAATTACAACAGATGTTCATTTGGACCCTGCATCCACTCTAGTTCTGTTGTGAGCTACCTTGCTGTTAAGCACCTACTTAAACAATGTAAAAACTGGAGTGAAACCGCAAAGTGACCGATTTGAAACGCTCTACATGAGTAGAGCAACTTCAGACACAGTACAAGTAGTACTCTGAGAAACTCGTCTCGCGAAAGATTACAAGACAACACGACACCATTTTCTTCATCATCCAACTGGTAACTGGAGCTCTTTTTTGAGAAGTTTGGATATTATTGTTGAAATGCATTCTGGGATGAAATTACCCTCAAATCAAGATAAAGATCAGATCAAGGTGTCTTTGAAGGCAACAAATTTGTTGCTCTTATAATGCCAGTGCTATACATATAACTCATTAGGCTTTGAAAAAAAGCTGTTGTGTTTTAGTATATACAACACTATTATAGTATTTATTAATATTTTCAGATAACAATATTAATAAATAATATGATAAAAATTATATTTTTATATTTTTTAAATTTTACTATAACATTAAAAATAGATCTTTTTTAAATATTTATTGAAAAATTAGGTTTTAGTAATTTTGTTATAGCTACTTTATTATTAGTTTTTTTTTATTATTATTATTTTAAGTTTATTTATTTTTTTTTTTTTTTATAGTTTTAGTTAATATGAGGCCAGTCTTTTTTCTTTTATTTATTTATTTTTTTGCAGTGGAAACCAGTGATGCTTTTAAATTGCATTGGGTTGCAATTACTATGCTATAATAATCATACTGTATACTTACACATTTGACCTGACAGCCAATTCCAGGTGATAAAACTAGCAAAAAACACAGATAACCAGAGACTGACTTGGGCTACGCACTGAACAATACACACTGGCATAATTGGAAAATGTGAAAATCTCGTCGAATAGGCCTACTTTTCATACTGTGCTTTACAAAGGCTCCATTTCCCCTGCTCTTGTTGAACATGGTGAGGCCTGATGGGCCACATTTACAGCAAAAACCCTCTCAGATGGATTATTATTGGGACTCACAGGGGCTATTTATCATGCAGGAGGTGCTGAATGTGGGAATGTGAGATGGAAACTCAGTTATGGTGACACAGCTAATGTAATACAGTGAAAATTAATGGTAATAAAGCCTCTTCTAATGTGGCTGTGAGATTGAGCCCCTGAAGCACAATCACAGTTCTTGTTGTCTTTATAGATATCTATTTGTCATGCTGCTTTGCTGTCAGTATTCGCTGAATTCTTGGTTTTAACCTTTTTTTTTTTTTAAACCACTGATTCTTGAGACATGGGGCAAAACTGTTAACTTAATTTGCTTTCATTCCATTTATTATCACCACAATAAAACTGGTCAATAACACAACTGCTATAAAAAGAGAGATGGGATTCTGAAAGGTTTTGCTGGGGAAATTAATTTAATGACACTTTTAAATGCAGTAACTTGGGTTTGTTTTCAGCTGTGGTTACCATGATAGAATAAAGGGAATCCTGATAGACAAAGCTCCAGTTGAGATTAAAAGTAGAAAAGTGGTTATTTTAGAAACTCACTTTGATAGACTTACTTATTCTCAAATCAAATCTTCAAATATTTGTAATTAAGGTCCAACATTACGATGTTATATTTAAAAAAGAAAAAATAGGTGAACCCCAAATGTGAATTTTAATTCTGCTGTGTGTTGTGAAAAACAGTGTGAAAAATAGTTTGCTAACAAGTGGCAATAATTGAACATGATAAAAATATTGATCCAGATGCATAACCTTGTCAATGCCTGATGTTAGCTCCAGCCGCCGTTAGCATTCATTCTTTAAGATCAAATTCTGTTTAGTATGTTTGGTAACATTTGTTGTTATCCAAAAATTAAATCCAAAAATCGTTGCGGCTTCTCCTTACGTTCTCCATTTAGGATTTGATGTTCATTACCGCCATGCTGTCAGGGGTAGAAGGGGTAGAACTCATTTTGACTTTCTAATTGCTTCACAGCCAAATAGTTTAATTGGGCCAACACACAGATTATCACCTTAAGGATCAGTCAGGTATAAAAATGAACCTATTCAAATTTCAAAGTGCGTAAACCTCCGTCCCAACACTTAGTTGGCCACCCACTATCCAGCAGCATCTAAACTCAGTTTGTTACCTCATGATACCAATGATTAATAACGTTGCACACAAAGGCACCAACTCCCAAATAGGGCTGGTGGATTTCCGTGGGAAATTTGAGCATGTCTTTGCGTCATTATGTCACATCTGTACACGTAAAGAAGAGTCTCGGCTAGTAGGTTATATTGCTTGTGAGGATGTTGGAGGTGGAAATTTATAGCCTTTTCTCACAACACTTGATATAATTAAACTTATTAATTAGATGGCGGATCTAGAAAGGTTCAAACGACAATCACCAGAGACAACTAGAGACTCACCCGCTGTAAAATGTAAAAGATTTCGGAGTGGCTACAGAAAAACTGCAGAAAGACTGCAACCAGCCCATGCGAAAACAAGCATAAATATAAATATCGGAAGGCCATTAAATGTAGTCATGCAATGAGAACAAAGTATAATTTGCACAGTTTGATGTGATAAGCGATCGTTAGATTTAATCAGAGCGATTACAGATTGATTTACAGTTTTAAAAAAGATTATAAGATTCTACGTCAGAGCATCAGAGCGTCCACGAATCTTTCCACGGTGTCGCTGGCAGGGCGGCGGTGTGAACGTACGTCAGAACAAAAGTGGATGTTACTTACTTGTTCAGATGACATTTTCCAGTGAAAATGTTTATGTTGGTCATACTTTCAAAAAGAGTAATCTGTGATTCCGAATGACATTATCGCCGTGGCGACTGACATTCCTCAAACATTGTGTTCATCAGGCGCTGTGCCGTGCCGAGGCACTACTCACGTAAAGTTGAAAATTCCGTGAATAACTGCAATTGCAGATTTCAAACAGAGATGGCGACAAAGAGGAAAAACTACAGACCGCAGCTTTAAATTAATAAGTAAATCAAAATAGAAATAATCCTAAAAAAGAAATGTATCATGATCCACAAAAATATTAAGCAACTGTTTTCAACATTGACAATAATCAGAAATGTTTCTTGAGCAGCAAATCCGACACTGCATTTAAGACTGCGGTAATGATGTTGAAAAATAATCTTCGCATCTCAGGAATAAAATACATTTCAAAATATATTCAAATAGAAAACAGTTCATTTAGTTCAGAATATTACTGTTTTACTATGTACTTTTGTTCTAATAAATACCTTGGTGAGCATAAGAAATTTCTTTCAAAAACAAATCACAGAAATTTACAATAATGCAGACTATATCGAATCGACTTCACAGCGCATTATGGCAAAGTATCTTATAAGACGGCATAATGTTGCATTTCCTTTTAGACTTTGCAGTAACTGATGTGGTGTTTTCCTCAGGTCCATGGGGCAGATGTATGGGCAGCGAGTGCGGGCCAGGAGGGAGTCAGAGTCGGGCGGTGTGGTGCGCTCATGTGGAAGGCTGGACGACTCTTCCCACAAACTGCCTTCAGTCCTTACGACCAGCCAACCAGCAGAGCTGCTTCCGCGTGTGCGACTGGCACAAGGACCTGTACGACTGGCGGCGGGGCGCGTGGAACCAGTGCGTTCCCATATCGCTGCGGACTGGCCGCGCAGGTGTTTGCTTGCAGGGCGAAGAGGGCATCCAGACGCGGGGGGTGAACTGTGCGCTCAGAGCGGACGGCTCGGCGGCCGACGACTCCATCTGTGAGTACTTTGAGCCCAAACCCCGGCAGGAACAGGCCTGTCTCATTCCCTGCCCTCAAGACTGCGTGGTGACCGAGTTCACCCCCTGGACCACGTGCTCCAAGACCTGCGGGCTGGGCCTGCAGAACCGCGTCCGCTCCATAGTGGCGCCGCCGCTTTTCGGTGGGCTTTCTTGCCCCAATCTGACGGAGTTCCAGACGTGTGCGCCGAGGGCCTGCGAGGGCAGAGAGACGGTGTTCAATCTGAGAGTGGGCGGCTGGAGCGAGTGCAAACTGCCTTCTTTGTCTCCAACACCACCGCTGACACCGACATCCTCTGCCCCCCCTGCTCGCACCGTACGACAAGCCCGGCGGAGGAAAGGCAAAGAGAGGAAAGGAAACAGAGACCCGGAGATGCGCGAGCTGATCAAGAACAAAAGGAACCGCAACAGGCTGACTCGACTGGAGGATGACCTCTGGTATATCGAAGTAGGCTACCAGTCTCGGCAAGTGGTGTGTGTACATCGAAACAGAAGTACGGTAGCACTCAGGTTAGTGGCCTTTCCCATCAGACTTAAAGTCTAGTAGACTTGTTTTGACATGAATAAAAGTGAGGTTGTGAAGTATTGAAGTGAAATCCGGTTAAAAAATCCGGTGAAATATTTATTTTTGTTTTTAGCATTTATTTATTTGACGCATTGGTAAATATGAGTTAAGAATATTCATTTTTGGTCCTGTTTATTGATTGGTTTAAAATACATTAAAATGCAATTCGAACAATGTATGACAATGACTTTTGATGCTTTTTTTTTCTGAATTAATGCTTTTATTTATTTATATATTTTCAATTGATTCTTTCAGATTGTAAATATATTGTGGTGTAACTCTTCAAAAAACTTAATGATTAGCAATAAATTCATATTAAGAAATAATCAGACAACATTAATATTAGTTTATTTAAAAAATGCATGCCATTTTTAAATTGTACAAATATTATTTTATGACGAGCATATTTTTAATTTCTCAATTTTGATATTTGCTTTTCATTCGTTCAGGTTGTTAAACGTCTCATGATGGGACTTCCCCCAAAACCTAATGATGTTTATGAATTAATCAATATAATTGTTGATATGAATTATTTGAATACATTATTATAATTATTTATATTAATATTAATAATAATAACACTCATATGAATCTATTCAAAATGCAATTTCTAAAAAGACTTAGATACACCTTTACTATGTTTGTAATTCCTTAATTATTATTTATTAATATTCCTTTAGATATTTTATTTGTATTAGTTCATGTAGGAAAATGTGTTGTGGTGCAGCACACAACATTTTTTATGAATTGATAAAGTTGATTATTAATTATCTAAAATAATAATTCATTGATAATTGTTGTTGTGAACACTCAATAGTCAAGACTACAGTCAAAAAGAAAATATTACTTGATGTTACACCACAATTCAGTTTTCCATGGAAACAGGCTTATATGCCATTGGCCCTCACATTAATTTTATATGGTGTCTAATAGGTGGTCGATTCTTATAAGACGCTTATATTGTGCTTGAGGCTTTCTCATTCTACATGTCTAATCTATTAATATTGAACCAACACTGGTCATTTTAATGTCTGCGTTAAAAGGGAATCTGTTACGTATTACTTTTTCTCTTGAGCTGGATCTCTTTTGTTGTAGTGCGAATGGTTAGGCTAATAGCGGTTAAATGTGTCCTAAAGCGAGGGATTCCGGTATGTGTGTGTGTGTGTGTTCTCCGTCAACCACTGACAGTAAGAGGATGACGGCTGTGTGACTCGTCTGGGTCTCCGCTGTGCTGTCAAAGTACTCCCACGCTTGATGTCTATTTTCAACTGTAGAAATGACAACTGTATATTCCCCAGCAGCAGATTGTGTGACACGGCAGGAGTCTGTGCCAGCACTTTCAGACGAGTATTAAATGTTCAAGAGTTTTGTAGTTATTTAAAAAGTTTTGGTGCAGCCTTAAAGGTTGTGTATCTCAGGCGTACAGTGTTTGGCCTTTGATATTTGAAAGAAAAATATTCAGAGTTTTCTTGCCTGAGGTTTCTCCAGGTAATGTTACGTTCACAGAAACAATCGACTGGCCAACATCAAGGATCGTCAAACTTTTTCTATTGTCCGAACAAAACTGGGAATAGCCTTCAGATTAGTTTCAATTTAAATCTAAGTTTTAAAAAAAATCTTATCTTTTTAGACTGTGCGGATCTGGTGTGGTCATTCTTGTGATGAGTTTGGTAATACTTTATATTACGACCCGCAAACAACTGCGTAAGTAAACCAAAATTAGTATAGTGTACTTCCGTGTAGGTATAAGGGAACAATATGTTAAGTTTTGGGTTAAAAAAGGGGTAACAAGCAGATATACAACCTGCAAAACCAAAATTACAGTGTATGTTTCAATACGTTATATATATATGGCTGTATGTAAGGTACACTTAGTGTACCTTTGTGCAGTGTTGCCTAAATTTTATGCATGCACTCCCATTGTTCAATTTCGAATTTCCTGCTAATTTTATTTAGGATTTGATGGACCTCTTCATAATACTCCTGCTGCTGCACTGAGGTTCTCCTGAATTCCCACAATTGAGTTATTCTTGCATTAAAGGACAGGAGAAACATCATTCTCATTTAAATGGAAATGTTGGCGTCCTCATTCTATCAACAAGCTGTAAACAAAAGCTCACCAAAATGTGCTACCCTGTGCTTAAACACAATGCATGTTAGTAATATTGGGAAGTGCAGCAATGCGCATTTCAGCAGAGCAACACAGTTTGATACCAATTTTACACTCAAGAAAATTCTTTGTTATCGGCTGGTTTCAATCAGTGGCTGATTGTTTTATAAGCAGGTACTGTTCGTTCAAACAGCTTGATGTGTGCTGGTACAGTAACTTTACATTATTTAAGGCTATTTTCAGTTTAATATAGTAGTAGTAGTAAAATCTTTATTTGTCCCTTTACAGGGCAATTTAAGTAGCTTCAACCTCACAAAACAGCAAAACATCACAGACATTACACACACACACACACACACAAAAAAATATGTTGAACTGTTGTCTTCAAGTGAGCTTGTGTGTTGTTTTAAACTGTCCTGGACTGGTTCTGCTGCAATGCTGGTGAATAGATCTTATTCTTCCTTGTGCTAATAATTTGTTTTTGCCCAGTCCTAGTCACAATTTTGGCAGTAGCCCATAGTCGCTATAGCCAGACCGATATATCGGCAGACCGATATTATCGGCCGATATTAGGCATTTTCCAAACTATCGGTATCGGCAGTTATAATGGCCGATAAATGAATATTTCAAAAATAAAATAAAAACGGACGAAACACACTTGAACCATGTCATGAGTGTTGGAGTTATATAGTTTGTCCACCAGAGGGCACTCTACACGGTTCCTGTTGACAACACTCGTTGAGTTGGTCACGATACATATATTGCTTGAATAACAATTAAAAGAACATCCCCATCAGTTCTCTTAAAGGTGCCATCTGTAAAAATTGAGGTTAAAATATCCCAAAAATGAGCAACACGCATCAAAAGATTGAGAAGAAATAAGGTTGATGATGTCATTAAAAAACTGACAAGTTATAGTGCTGCCGAGATATTAACCTGAATTAGCATGCTAAATTACTAGCCCCGGCCCGTTAGGTGTCGTAATACCAGTTTCGACCATGGGAGGCGGTATGCGGGCGGGCAACGTTACCACCAGCCAAACTGCAGTACACGAGTAAGTCGCGCTCGCGCCAGCTTGTGTGTACTTGAACCTGACGTCAGTCGTGTGGAAAATACAGCCCACTACTACATTTCAGTTCAGGGAAGAGTTAAAAAAAAATGATTGGTCGATATTATGCATGAGGAATACATTTTGGTAAGTTGTAGCATGCTGTATCTTTCAACAGTGTTCGTGTTCTTTTACCATTAGCTAGTAGAGATGATCGGTTCACGTGCGCTAGGGATCTGTCGTGTAAAGTGCCAATACTGTATTTATTGTTTGAATTGCGTAATAAAATGAACAGAATCTGAGAGCTGACATCGGTCTCCGTGTCCTTTTCTGTGCATGACAAAATTGATGTGTGGCGTGAAAGTGTGTGAAAAGTGTTGTGAGAGTTGGCAGCTCTGAAAGACGCTAGCTTGGTCCACATCAGGTAATGCTGTCTGTCAAATTAATTCAAACTAATGATAAAAATGTAATATGAACAAATCGAATATCATAAAACTAGAAATAATAGCCTGGGCTTTAATTTTCCCATATCGTCGAAATGCACCGACTTGTCTATGAGACGGCCCTTATAATTTAGTATTGAGATGTTGTTCATTAAGTCTCTAATCTCTGAAAATCTCCAAATGCTCCACGTGAAACTGCGGTCTTCCAACCTTTTACTATCGCGTCAATTGATTTGATTAATATGCACGAGGGAGACAGAGCAACACAGCACTCGCCCATATTGTTTGAAGACATGAGAGAGCGCGTGGCCGTGGAGGTATTTCTGGAGGTATACTGCCCCCATCTGGTATGGAACATGTTGTATGATTTGATTTAAAATCCCATTTGGCACCTTTAACTCAAATAAGCATGACAAAATTTGTGACTATCATGTCCAGTTTAAAATAAATAAATAAATAAAATATCGGCCGATATATCGGAATATCGGATTTTCAAACCCAAAAATATTTGTATCGGTATCGGTCTTTAAAATCCTTTATCGGTCGGGCTCTAATAGTCGCTATTCCATCAACAGACTGGCACACTCCATTTCTGCCAAAAATACAGTTTACCTGTGGCTACTGTCCATTTTATACCTCAGGAAAAGTTATTGTGCTGCAATATGGTATCGTTATGTTGCCAGATTACGAGACATCTTAATCAGGGTTTAAAGTGGGTGGAAAACAGTCCAGCTTTGAAGTTTAAGAGTCCGGGCTGCCCTGAGGTGAGTTTGGCACCTAAATGAGCAGTTGCTAAATGAAGCCACGCTGGAAAGGAAGCAGTATTTATCTGTAATAGCTCGTCAGCTGCAACACTTACTGAGATAATAAGAGACCATGAGAAACTGTTGCATTTACACTCCTCAGCGTTAAACTACCGGCCACTGAAACACTTACTGTACAAAAGCTGTTGTTCAACTGCAAATTGAGTTAAGTTACAAAAACATGTCATTAAGGTATTCAAAGATAAAGTGTTGTGATTATTTAATTTGATAATTTATATTATTATTAGGTACAAAGATACTGTACATTATAAAAGTTGCCATACATCACATTTTTCTTTGAACATTTCAACAATGCATGGGATAATATTAAACTCATGTAAGCTTTAAAATTCAATCATCTATTCTACCAAGAAGAAAGCTGACCATTTTCAGGTTATAGCATTTTATTTTATAATAAAATACTAATAATGTTTTAATAAAATAAAATAATTATTTATCATATTTAATGATATTTATATTATCATGTTTGATTTTTGTAATTGTACTCAATTTAACTAGATTTTTTTTCTAACATTTTATTATTATATCTAAAATTTAAAAATATGTATATTATACATATGTTAAAAATAAAAAAATTAAAACATATGTATATGATAAAATATGTTAAAAATATTAAAAAATATGTATATTATAATATTTATATTTTTCTTAATTTAATTATAGTATAAATATATAATACATAAATATAGTTTAGACTTATATTGCAATGAAAGTCCACTGAGGCACCTTGTGTAGAACCCAAGTGCAGTTTATTTAACATAAATGTGAACTGAATACAAACTAAACAAAGACTTGAACTGAACTAAACCGAAACAACAGTGGGTACACGGACAAAGCTATAACATGAGGGCTATATATACACAAAAACTAATGACTAACAAGAAACACCTGTGAACAATCAACCAATCAGAACACAGAACAGTACAAGACATGATCACATGGGGAAGGAATCACATGACACAAGCAGGAACCTATGAGAATTTCTAAATGAAAGACATGAACACAAACAAAACCCAAGCCATCGTGACACATATCACTCTCATAAAGACATGGTGTTAACTGTAAAATAATGATTATCTTGTCGTTTTGACTGACCAGTCTTTCTATCCCTCTGTCCTGTATCAGCCAGTGTCCTCACTGGAGTCTTCCGGAGACCTACCAGTCCTGCCTGATGCCTAAAGACTGTGTGGTCAGTGAATGGAGCAAGTGGGGCGTGTGCTCCAAGACCTGCTCGGACTCCAGTGTTCCTCGGGGCACACGCTCCCGCAGCAGACAGCTGGTCCGGCTTCCTACTGGAGGAGGGTCCGAGTGCCCCGACCTGGAGGAAAGTCAGTCTTGTGAACCTGAAGGGAACGGGGTGCCACCCTGCGCCATGTAAGTACCACGGACATGCTAGACCCGTGTCCTCACTACATTTTGCGTTTGTTGATCATGTATATGTTTTCAAGCCTTGCAAAGTCCCTGGTTGGATGTTTCTCATGATGTACTAGATAGTGTATTGAAAAGTGAGGCGTAATAAGTGGTTTTTGGTGCTGTCGTTTCATTGTAAACACAAAGTACAGTGAAATCAATACCAATTAGACACAGCATGCAAACTTTTCTACTATTATATGTACTCTCACCTAAAGGGTTATTAGGAACACCAATACTGTGTTTGAGCACAGTGAACTCATTTTCATGTTCAAGAAAGCAATTTGAAATGATTCGAGCTTTGTGACATGGTGCATTATCCTGCTGGAAGTAGCCATCAGAGGATGGGTACATGGTGGCCATAAAGGTACAGACACGGTCAGAAACAATGCTCAGGTAGGCCGTGGCATTTAAACGATGCCCAATTGGCACTAAGGGGCCTAAAGTGTGCCAAGAAACATCCCGCACACCATTACACCACCACCACCACCAGCCTGCACAGTGGTAACAAGGCATGATGGATCCATGTTCTCATTCTGTTTACGCCAAATTCTGACTTTACCATCTGAATGTCTCAACAGAAATCGAGACTCATCAGAGCAGGCAACATTTTTCCAGTCTTCAACTTTTCAATTTTGGTGAGCTCTTGCAAATTGTAGCCTCTTTTTCCTATTTGTAGAAGAGATGAGTGGTACCCGGTGGGGTCTTCTGCTGTTGTAGCCCATCCGCCTCAAGGTCGTGTGTGTTGTGGCTTCACAAATGCTTTGCTGTATACCTCGGTTGTAACGAGTGGTTATTTCAGTCAAAGTTGCTCTTCTATCAGCTTGAATCAGTCGGCCCATTCTCCTCTGACCTCTGAAAAATTGAACAGGTGTTCCTAATAATCCTTTAGGTGAGTGTATAATATAAGTGATACATATTTACTGTTCAAAAGTTGGGGGCATTAATTATTTTAAAATACTTAAAATATTCGGCAAGAGTGATCAAAAGTAACAGCAAATACATTCAGAATGTCACAAAAGATTTCTATATCAAATACATGCTGTTCTTTTGAATTTTCTATTTATCAAAGAACCATGAAATATGGTTCCCACAAAGATATGAAGCATCACAACTGTTTTCAACATTGATAATGATAAGAAATGTCTCTTGAGTAGCATATTAGAATGATTTCTGAAGGATCATGTGACACTGAAGACTGGAGTAATGATGCTGAATATTCAGCTTTGCATCTCAGAAATAAATTATATTTCATAATATATGTTTTACACCTGTCCATCTTTGCATTTGACTGCAGTCTCCAGCAAAAGCAGTTTGTCGACTAGTTTTTTTTTTTCTGTAAAAAAACACAGCTTTTGCTAGAAACGTATGGCATATGCAAAGATGGACTGTTATAAAAATATCGATATGCTATTCTGTTATTCATTCTTGCCGCGGGGTCAGTAAAAATTTTGGCAGGGGATTAAAAGACCTACTATTGGCTCAACAGGGTCAGCAGGGAAAAAAATCCATATTGTTGAGCCTGTGATATCTGCATGCATGATTTCAAACAGTCAATATGATCGAGTGCTTTTGAATTGCAGATGTAACACTTTCTTATTTAGACATGACATCCAGCATCAGTGTGCTCTCTTATCACTGCTCGGGATCAAAGGTTTTCATTAAGATGGTTTTGTGTCTGTGAAAAATGAAAGCGATTGGAGTGATAATATGATGTGATATACAGCAACATATTGATGTCATCTTGTCATGTCTCATTTTGTGTCAACCTGAAGGAAACAATGTTGCTGGAGTTGCTATTTCAAACCTCAAAAGATTTAATGCGGTTCCTAGTAAGCCTGTCATTGAGGTTTCAAGACGTCAGAGAATCAGAGTATGAGACAATTATTGATGTACAGCAAAAATACAGATCAATAAAATGAACAACATTGGCTCATTTAAAACTCATGGCTCTACCTACAATGTAGGTCCTACATTTTTGCAATTCACTGCAGTTTACAGCTGGAATGAACATGACAGTAAAACATCAACAACTTGTATTATTTTTCTCACAAATGATGATTACAGGCCAGGGACAGATCATTGATACATAAAGACTGATTTTTGTTCGGTTCCTTACACAGTATAACACTTGATTTGTAAACTAATACATTTTTGACTTTCACATCACATAACCAGCTCCATATGTATGTCTTTTCTAACATAGTAAACTTACCCAGTGGCTCAGCATTGCACTTGTGATGCAGAGTCTGTGAAACGCATGATAAAAGAGCTCAAACACTTGTTGAGGCAAGCTAAAATGGCTTGGCCGCTTCAGAAAAATGTTTTTATCTCATGTTTTGCAGCCTAGGCGCATTGGAAAAACATGCCTTTGGCAACACTTCTCCAAAATGACATTACGTTGCATCTTGCACATTTTGCAATACTTTCAAAGTTAAATCTGAAATGGATAAATATGGATTTGGCAACGTTTTATTGAGTTGGTTGTACATATTGTGGCAGTTCTGAATTTAAATGTACGGTGAATGTCGCTAAAAGGGGGATGGTGTATCGTGTTTGAAAACGACGTACCACTTAAACTTAACCATAAACATATCTGAAAGAGATGAACATGAACCTGACAATGTTTTAGTACATTACTTATAAGTATCGTGGCACTTCGGAAATGAAATATCCGAACTGACTTATGAGGAACATTATATGGAAGCTTGTTTCCGCCATAGAATGAAAAATATAAAAGGTAATTGCGACTTTTTATCTCACAATTCTGACTTTTTGTCTCACAATTGTGAGTTTACTTCTCGCAAGTCTGACATTATTTCTCAGAATTGCAAGATGGAAAGTCAGAATTGCGAGATATAAAGTCAGAATTGTGAGTTATGAAGTCAAAATTGCGAGATATGAAGTCAGAATTGCGTGATATAAAGTCACAATTCGAGATATAAAGTAAGAATTGCGAGTTATAAAGTCAGAATTGCTAGATACAAAGTCGCAATTGCGTGTTATAAAGTCAGAAATGCATGATATAAAGTCAGAATTGTGAGATTTAAACTATTCTGAGGGGTAAAAAAGTATTTTTTCCCCTTAGAATTGGCCTGATAACTCGCAATTGCGAGTTTAAATCTCACAATTCTCAGAAAAGATGTCAGAATTTCGAAATGTAACCTCGCAATTATGTGTTATAAAGTCAGAATTGTGAGATGTAAACTCGCAATTGTGAGAAAAAGAGTCAGAATTGTGAAATAAAAAGTCGCACTTCTGTCTTTTTTTCTCAGAATTGCGACTTTATATCACCCAATTCTGACTTTATATCACACAATTCTGACTTTATATCTCACAATTCTGACTTTATAACACGCAATTGCGACTTTATATCACCCAATTCTGACTTTATATCTCGCAATTCTGACTTTATATCACACAATTCTGACTTTATATCTCACAATTCTGACTTTATAACACGCAATTGCGACTTTATATCACGCAATTCTGACTTTTTATCTCACAATTGCGAGATATAAACTCGCAATTGTAAGAAAAAAAGTCATTGTGAGATAAAAAGTCACAATTATTTATTTTATTTTTATATTCAGTGGCGGAAACAAGCTTCCATAACATTTTGACTTCACAAGAACTGAAAGAAAGCGTTGTAGTCCAACCGAGTGGTTCGTTGTAGCTCTTGAAAAGGGGATTCTGTTTAATGAAATGTCTCCTTTTGGAGTGGACTTTGAGCTTTGTAACCTTGCAGATCTTTTTTTTTATGCTCAAATAGCAACATTACACACTAACTAAAGTTAGGAAAAAAAGCATAATAGGACCCCTTTAAAATCCATGACTTTGGCATCTTGGCAAATCCGAGCACAGTTCATAGGGATATTAGTCATCTCTGTAGGCGAATCTAAGTGTGTAACTGAAAAATATTATGTTAAGCTAATTTGCAATCAATTTAATCTCTGCTGTCAAGGAGAAGCAATTGAGTTATTAAAGAGATCTCACGTGGGATTTTTCTCTCCTACGGGCATGTTCATGAAAGAAGCACTAAAAATTAGCAGTCACGTCTCATGCTTTCAGCTCCTTATGGAGATGTGCCGGCGTGGAGCAAGAGGTCCTGTCGGGAGACGGTTGACCCCAGCTCTGCCGGTGAGAGTCAGCATGAGCATATGGAGACGGGGCCGGTCTGTGGTCCCGAGCCAAGAGAGATGCACTGACAAATGGAAGTGGTCTTAAGACCTTGGTGACGCTGCTCTAGTCTGGTTCTCTCACAGATGGCACACACTGGCACGTCGTCACAGGGCACACGGCACTTTCTCAGTCTCCCACGTACTGTGAATAGGCAGCTTGAAAAGATAATGGAGTTTTCTCAATTCTGTTTCGCACTATTATGAAAGTAATAAAGAGAATCTCTTTAATATCTCATTTTTTTCTTCTTCTTCAGGACAGCAATAGGATTAGATGGAGGTCGAATGGAGGTTCTTCTGCTTCTCAGATTATAAAAGATCCCAGTTACCGAGATTTCAGGGGTTGTGTGCCATTCAAAATGCCTTTTATATTCCAAATAAATTTGACATTTTGTGGCAGGCAAATAGGATACAGCATTGCTTGATGAATTTCAGTTTAAGGAATTACAAATAAAATCATTTGAGTGCATATGATGGTAATTAGAAGTGTTTGTTAAAGAGCAGGGTTGAAGTTTGAAGGTCTATAGCTCTAACAGAGAGTAAGAGCGATACATAGACTTTTGTGGACCGGGGTGGGAAAAAATGTATTTTCTATGTTGACTTTCTTTTAATTGTTATTAAGTGAATCCCCCCTTTCTGTCATTCCAATTCAACTTCCTCTGGGGTGTGGCTAATTCATCTTAAATTCAAGTTTATTCATATTTTAAATTCACCTTATTTTGTAATTCATGTTTGTCATTTTTATTAGTTTATTTTTTTATTTAGCTTGATTTTTATTTTACTTTTTTGTTTATTTTACTGCTTCATCTCAAACTTATTTAAGTAAAGGGCCAAGGATTCAAGTTTTTAATAGTTTGTTTTTGTTTTATTTTAGGTATGCGTGGCGGAGCACAGAATGGAGTGAGTGCCGAGTTGACGCGCTGCTCAGTCAGCAGGACCGGCGGCGGGGGAATCAGACTGGACTGTGTGGTGGAGGTGTGCAGAGCAGGGAAGTGTACTGCGTCCAGACCAATGCAGAACTGCTCAGCTACACCAATAACAACACAGGCAAACAAGGTACAGGCTTCTATTTAGACAATGTTTAATTACAGAAGTATGCCATTTTTCAGACATGCAAATTTTTCTTTTTGAGAATGTGTTCAGTCCCAAACCGTGAAGACTGACTATCCTGAGCTGTGAGCAGAATAATCATATTGATTTTATTATAATAATAATTATATTTATTTACTTCAGGCTTTTAAGAGTCCTCCAAAATGTGCCCACTAGCAAAACATCTCCCAAATAACATTCAATTTTGTGATATAAAGATGTGTTCATGGCATCAATTAAAAAAAGATACCATTTTTGACAAAGCTTTTATGAATCCATTACAGAATCTTTATAGGTTCCATTTGACTCCATAAGCGACTATTTATAAGTTTCCTTCCTTCCTTTCTTCCTTCCTTCCTCCCTTCCTCCTTACTTCCTTCCCTCCTTCCTTCCTTCCTCCCTTCCTTTCTCCACCCCTTCCTTCCTTCCTTCCTCCCTTCCCCCTTCCTCCCTTCCTCCCTTCCTCCTTACTTCCTTCCCTCCTCCCTTCCTTCCTCCCTTCCTCCTTACTTCCTTCCCTCCTCCCTTCCTTCCTCCCTTCCTTTCTCCATCCCTTCCTTCCATCCTCCCTTCCCCTTCCTTCCTTCCTCCCTTCCTCCTTACTTCCTTCCCTCCTTCCTTCCTTCCTCCCTTCCTTTCTCCACCGCTTCCTTCCTTCCTTCCTCCCTTCCCCCTTCCTCCCTTCCTCCCTTCCTCCTTACTTCCTTCCCTCCTCCCTTCCTTCCTCCCTTCCTCCTTACTTCCTTCCCTCCTCCCTTCCTCCCTTCCTTTCTCCATCCCTTCCTTCCTTCCTCCCTTCCCCCTTCCTCCCTTCCTCCCTTCCTCCTTACTTCCTTCCCTCCTCCCTTCCTTCCTCCCTTCCTCCTTACTTCCTTCCCTCCTCCCTTCCTTCCTCCCTTCCTTTCTCCATCCCTTCCTTCCTTCCTCCCTTCCCCCTTCCTCCCTTCCTCCCTTCCTCCTTACTTCCTTCCCTCCTCCCTTCCTTCCTCCCTTCCTCCTTACTTCCTTCCCTCCTCCCTTCCTTCCTCCCTTCCTTTCTCCATCCCTTCCTTCCTTCCTCCCTTCCCCTTCCTTCCTTCCTCCCTTCCTCCTTACTTCCTTCCCTCCTCCCTTCCTTCCTCCCTTCCTTTCTCCATCCCTTCCTTCCTTCCTCCCTTCCCCTTCCTTCCTTCCTCCCTTCCTCCTTACTTCCTTCCTCCCTTCCTTTCTCCATCCCTTCCGTCCTTCCTCCCTTCCCCCTCCCTTCCTTCCTCCATTCCCCCTTCCTTCCTTCCTCCCTTCCTCCTTACTTCCTTCCCTCCTTCCTTCCTCCCTTCCCTTTCCTTCCTTCCTCCCTTCCTCCTTACTTCCTTCCCTCCTCCCTTCCTTCTTCCCTTCCTTTCTCCATCCCTTCCTTCCTCCCTTCCGTCCTTCCTTCGTTCCTTCCCTCCCTCCTTCCTTCCTTCCTTTCTCCCTTCCTTTCTCCCTACCTTACTTCCTTCCTTTCTCCCTTACTTCCTTCCTTCCCTTATTCCTTTCTCCCTCATTCCTTTCTCCCTCCCTTACTTCCTTCCTTTCTCCCGTCCTTACTTCCTTCCCTCTTTCCTTCCTCCATCCCTTCCTTCTTTCCTCCCTCTCTACCTTCCTTCCTTTCTCCTTCCGTCCTTCCTTCCTTCTTTTCCCCCTCCCTAATTCTCTCCTCCCTTACTTCCTTCCTTCCCTCCTTCCTCCCTCCCTTCCTCCCTTTCTCCCTTCCTTCCTTCCTTCCTTCCTTCATTCCTCCCTTCCTTCCCTTTAAGAGTCCTCAAATAATAAGTCATTAGTAAAATTACTATTATTATTTACATTTTATTTTTAAAAATTCCTCTAAGAACAATGTAAATACTACAATAGAGTACATGGATCTCTCCTTTATGATCTTTCTCTTTCCCTACCTTCTCTGCCCATCTCCCACATGCATGTATGTGTGGAAATCTCTTACTCTGCTGTATATATTGCATCAGCATTTCTTTGCATGCTCTACGCACACACACACAGACACACACATGCCATCACTTGATTATTGGCCCACCCATCTTCATAGAAAATACCTTTTTTTTATCTCTCCCTCCTGCTCGCTCTTTTGATGCTCAGAACTGTATGGTGAGCACATTGAAACTTATCGTAACGCACATGTCCCCGCACATTAGAGCAGACGAGCGCTGACTGCATGAAAAGCTCTGGTTAAAGAACCGCTATTAAAACAGGCCACTGGTGGAGCTGCGTATGCTGGGAAATCTGTGTCCTTATCAGCGTGGTGCAGGAGATGTCTGGCTTCACTGGGGGGTAATCTGTGCCGCTGACAGCAGATACATGAACGCAGACGCTGCAGAAAGTTAAAGGGAAAATGTGCTGGAGCTGATGGAGTCATGATGTTCTCGCCCTGGGAGGGTGTTGTCAGATTCAAGATTCTTTGATGTGATGAAACCTTCATCAAACCTATCTGGAACAGTGATGCTCATTTACATTTTCTTCTAAGAATACAACATTGCACTTGTAGCACGAACAGAACGTTATTTCCCTCAGGTGGCCTCACTGTCTTAAAATCAAGAGTGACGCATGAGAACTTTTCTTATAATTTGATTTAATAAAGGAACCCTTAAAAGTTTCATATGATGCCATAAGTGAATATTTAGTTAAATATTTAAAATATTTTAGTTCGATTCAATTCGCATGTATTTGTATAGCGCTTTTCACAATGCACATCGTTTCAAAGCTGTTTTACAGAAAGCTCCATTTGATTCCATATTAGAAATTTACTGTCTGAATGAAAGTCAATGCGATGCCTTAGTACCTTGAATAAACTGCATTCAAGGTACTAAACAAACAAAACAAATAAACAAACCAAGAAGAATGGCATGGACAATTTGGTACTGTTGGTAAATGGCATAACCGGGGTTTGCTTCAACTGAATATTTCTCCATCACTTGCCAAATGGACAAAAATTGACAGATAATTCACAATGCTTTCTGTTGTTCTGACAGATATAAAAGTAAGTTGTCTGGTCTATTGCATTTCATGAAGAAAATCGAGATAATTTGAAACTCGACAGAGAGGTGTGAGTGATAATATAATGGAAAAAACAAGAGTGTTTAATATTTTACCGACAGGTAAGAGTAAAGCATGATGGACATTGTACAACCTAGTCCATCCGGATGACAGATCTTTATTTTGATGCCTTTATGCTGCTAAAAACGTAAATGTTTTTGATGACATTTCAAAAGTGGCTGTTCATTGTCATTATAAGTATATAATTTTATTGTATTTGTTTTTGAGGGTTCTTAAAAGGTTGAATGGGCTTACATTACCCTATTTGATGTCACAGCGCAGGATAGTTAAAGTTTACCACCTTATACCTTGCATTCTGTATATAGTCACAGTATAGAGCACATAGTGATAATATTTGTTTTTGTCCCTTGAATAATGCTTATTAGAAGTAGTTCGCTAGAGTTGGTGTTTGTGTGTTTTGTAGAAGGTCAGTCTCCAAATGGCCAGACGCCTAGTGTCCCTCCTCTCCTGTCTATCTCCTTTGAGATCTCAGGTAAGATTTTTAACACCTTTAAATGAATATTTTAGGTATTTTTCAACTGAATGTAAGTGTACCAAAGTTGTTTTGAAAGTATACCAACACTTGATTGTGTCGTGATTACTTTCTTTATTTGAAAAAATTGTCTTTTTTTTTAACACATCTCTTTGCCTGAGGCATGGATACATATTTTGTTTGCATAGTGTGTTTACTTTCTGTATTTTTGTTAGTCTTTGTGTCCATGGAGAGCTCATTACAAGCGTAGATACTGATGCAACACTGTGTTTTAGTCAACGCTCTCCTTTGGGCACCAGACGAGTGACAGAGATTGATTTGTGATGGCTGTCCTTACAGGTTCTTACTTTACACTCTCAAAAAAAAAAAAAAAAGAAAGAAAGAAATTAGACCATTCTACGTTTGATTTCATGGGCTTTATAACATGGGGCAAAGCCATATCAATAATTTGGGTACAATAATATGTTTTATTCAGCAAGGACAACAGTAAAAATAAAGATATTTGTAAATTTATATATTTAAATACAACACAGTTATTTTAAACTGTAATAATATTTTATTGATATGTCAATAATATCATTGAGAATATAAATGCAGCATTGGTGAGCATATGATACTACTTTTCAATCTTACCAACCCCAAACTTTTGTATTTTAGTGTATAGCAAGAAATAACAAGGCCACCTTAGGTTTTTCATCTATTTTCAAACATTGACCAAATCATTCCCATGCTTGGAGCTAAGCCTGTCCGCCTGGGTTTGTCAAAGCAGGCACAAGACCACAAATTTGGATTAGACAGAAAGTTTGCACAGAAGGTCTAAACTCTAGACCATCTGGCACGTAAACAAGGACAACCTGTGCAGTGTTATGCTAACTCAGATGACATTACACTGAAATCTGTCTCTCCGTTAATTTCGGGAACATGCGGCACTAGAACAGTTGAATGGAGTACTGTTATTCCCCATGCTCGGTTTCCAGTTCAATCAATTTTTTTGGAGGTCTGTGGCGCAGTCAATCTTCTTGTACTATTTAGTTCACAATCTGTGCACATTTCTGTGAACATTTTGTTTTGGAAGTCTCTAGAGAGCAGAACTCACCACATATCAGTATGAGAGAGCTCCATGATAAGAGTTTACCTTGCTTTGATGCAAACGCAGCAGTCATGTCACCTGTCACCCATCAAGCCGACAGGAAAATCCTGTGTTAAATCATTAATGTATCACTCTTGTTTCTGTTTTTGAGTTTGGATTTTATAGTTTCATGCATATTGAGTCCAGAAAGGATTTACATAGTTTGTTCATTGTCTACATTCATTTTCATCCGTCCGTCCATCCATCCATCATATTCATCTATCTATCCATCCATCCATCCATCATATCCATCCATCTGTCCATCAAATCCATCATATTCATCTATCTATCCATCCATCCGTCCATCATATCCATCCGTCCATCTATCTATCCATCCATCCGTCCATCTATCCATCCATCCATCATATCCATCCATCCGTCCATCTATCCATCCATCCATCATATCCATCCATCCGTCCATCAAATCCATCATATTCATCTATCTATCCATCCATCCGTCCATCATATCCATCCATCCGTCCATCTATCTATCTATCTATCCGTCCGTCCATCTATCCATCCATCCATTCATCCATCATATCCATCCATCCGTCCATCAAATCCATCATATTCATCTATCTTTCCATCCATCCATCCATCCATCCATCATATCCATCCATCCGTCCATCAAATCCATCATATTCATCTATCTATCCATCCATCTGTCCATCATATCCATCCATCCATCCATCTATCCATCCATCCGTCCATCTATCCATCCATCCGTCCATCCATCCATCCATCATATCCATCCATCCGTCCATCTATCCATCCATCCGTCCATCTATCTATCCATCCATCCATCCATCATATCCATCTATCCGTCTATCAAATCCATCCATCCCTCCGTCCGTACATCCGTCCATCCATTCATCCATCCATCCATCCATCCGTCCACCTATCCGTCCATCCATTATATCCATCCATCCATCCGTCCATCCATCCATCCATCTAATGATTGAATGAATTAATTGGTTAAAAATGCATAATCTATAGTTAAAGTGCAATTAAATAAACGCTTTATTTAAAATAAAGTCTATTTTGGATGTTTTCTTTCCACTGGTCTGAAAAAAAAAAAAAAAACCTCTATGAAAAACCAAATAGGCCCAAATCTCAAAATGGTTTTGCCTGTATTATTAATTTTCTTCTTCTTTTTTCATAATTATTTTATTAATTTCATTTCATCATTTATTATTTTTTTAAGATGGTTGATAACAGGAAATAAGATCAATTTAGTCAAAATATTTAATAAACAAAAATCATGTGCATTCAAATTGTGGTCAGATCTGTGGAGATTCTGGTTTTCTTCTGTTTTTCCTTTGCTGTGATGCAACTGGGAATGGAGATTCTTCGGAGCGTGTTAAATGTTGCCATTTGTTGTTTCCTGCAGTTACATAAACCTAATTGTACTCCATGTGTCGTCTCCATGTGAGAGTCTTATTGCAGTGTTTTAATGCGTGTGTTTATATGCATTATAGCATCACAACCCGTAGACGTTCGGCTCTGCAAGGGAACGTCTCCAAGTACCACGCAACTGTGTCACATCCCGTGCCCTGTGGAGTGTGAACTGTCCCCGTGGGGCGCCTGGGGGCTCTGCACCTTTGAGAATTGCGAGGAACGGGTCGTGAAGAAAGGTAAACATGGCTGAAGCAATAACAATAGTTATATGTTAAATGTTCAAATGCTGAGACGAAATTTTTACTGAGCTATTTTGCTGAAAACTGACTTACTGGGAAACTTGGATAGAGCCAGAATACAATATTTCCTTTTGATGTCCCCATTATCTTATATTATTGGTCCAGGATGCTGCATTGCAGCATATCTGCAGCATTTATGGATCAAAAATGTCTTAAAATTTTGATAAGAACAGTACATACCCGAAGCACAAAGATAAACTTGAGTATAACCGCAAAAGGTAGACCTTGGTACTAGAGCTTACATGTGAATCTCACAAAAACCACATTAGATGAAGGTAACACATTTGTTTTACATTTGAATTGGGGAAAACATCTAATATTAGTTTGATAATTTGTGCTAATTTAATGCCATTTTAAAGTGTGACTAAATGCCACTGGGGATAGAGACAATTAATAGTTTATTTCATGTTTATTTGCAGGTTTCAAGTTCAGACGACGCACAATCACTAATGACCCCACGGGTGGCGAGGGGAACTGTCCTCACCTGGTGGAGGCCATCCCGTGCGATGATCCCAGCTGTTTTACCTGGCAGCTGATCAAGCTAGAGGAGTGCATCCCTGAAGAAGACATGGACTGCGGAGAGGGAACTCAGATTCCACAGGTCCGCTGCGTCAACAGCGAAGGTATTAAACACATTTGAGTTCCAACTATTAACACAGGATATCTATGTAAATCGGTGTTGGATATCTGAATCTGTGTTGATTCAGACGGGATTGGGATCTCTGTAGTGGTGTTCGATTTTTGAACAAATCATATAAGCCGGTAAACAGTCGAGGTGGTTCACGGAATTGAACTGAATCGAGCTTTAGTTCCAGGGTGATGACGCAAGACACTCACGCTCATTGTGCAGCACAGAATGAGCCAATAAGCACGTCCAGATGGGTTATTGAACCGAAGAACCGGTTCGAAATGAACGAAACAAATTCAGGCAGAGTCAGATTTTCGGTCATGTCCAACCCAAATGAGCCGGTTCTTTGCTGAGGTAATCCTTTTAATTCCAGCCCGGTCTCATTCCAAGGCGTCATATACTGACGCTTTTGACATTTCGTCTACATCCAACGCACATGGCACCCTTTAGCGTCAATATGAGACGCAGATATATAAGGGCCAGAAGGCGCCTCCTAGTGGTCTAACCCTAACCCTACCTCAGACCTAAACCTACCCATAACCGAACAAACTCTGTGCGTGTTATATTGACGCTAAAGGGTGCCATGTGCGTTGGATTTAGACAAAATGTCAAAAGCGTCACTATATGATACCCTAGGATGAGAATACGTTGTTTAATCCCTATATTCAGTTATTTTTGCGTCTGTTATTTGCATCTAGTTTTTTGTTTTTTTGGTTCAATAACCCATTTGGACATGCTTGCTGGCTCATTTCTGCTGTGCTACGAGCATGAGTGCTACATTTTATGTCATCAACCTGGAACTAAAGTTCGGTTTGGTTTGATTCTGTGAACCGACTCGGCTTTTAAAGGGGTCATGAACTGGCTTTTTAAATGTTATTATATTGTTGTCTGAGGTCAACTTATAACGTTCGCTTGGTTTTTGCATTCAAAAACATCAAAATGAACAAGTAATAGGCTATTTTGTACCCTGGTTGTGAGCCTTCCTAAAAAACAGTCGGTTTTTATGGGCGTGTCGCACTGAAGACTTGGAAGTAAACGCCCACTGCTGCGAGTGGAGAACAGTTTTGCATATTATAATGAGTTTAACTCACCCGTCGGTGTACGTGGGGGAAAACGTCCAATGTTGTAAAATGGCAACCGGATTCGCCCATACATGTTCGACCCAGAGTCCGTGTGTTGCACAATATTCCTGTCAGATCCAATATAGACGGCACAGCACCGTTCTTTACTCTTAATCGGTCTGCAAATCCAGTCTTGTTGACAAAACAATCCTCAGTGAAATGAAGCGAACAGACGACGATGTTTTACCTCATCAGCTGGAACGTCATTAAAAATACATTTTATCCATGCAGTCCTATTGGAATCCACAGGAAGCTTACGCAGCGACTGTCTTGCACAACCAGGCACTGCAAAATATTTTGTATTGCTCGGTAGCGATCCAGTTTGTCATCACGAGGTAAGCATGTACATGTATGATACTTATGTGTGTAATGCGCGAATCGGTGGGCGGGGCTAAACCTGCCGTGGTGAAGCAGGCGTTGATCATCTTCTGTGGGGGTGGTGTTTTATCCTCTTTGTCGTCATAGCTCCCCACTTTTAAAAACGAGTCGTTTTTAGAGGCTGTGTCAATAAAAGCTTTTATTGGACTAACAAGGACGTTTTCAGTTCTGAAACTTACAGGATATTCTTATAATATGATGACCTCTTAGATGTCAAAAGCTCAAGGAAAATTTGATTTCTCAGTTCATCACCCCTTTAAGAACCATTAGTGCATGCATCATGAAACATGTTCAGTTCAGACTCAGTACAGTCACTTATTAATCGTGTATCTCTGTGAAACTGTTAAACCTACAGTATAACTTGTTACATATGAATAGATCTTAAAGGGGTCGAGAAAACAAATGGAAAATTTGACATCAGGCCATCCAAGATGTTGGTGTGTTTTTTTTTAAGTAGAACTGAACATTATTAGCTGTAATCCACAGCCACAGCAAACGCTCCTGACCGTGTTTATGGCAGTCTGGAGCGCGAGCTTGCATTATCACCAAGTACTATGGTTTCAGCTAAATCTTTTTCACATTTCTACTGAAGAAAAAATGTGGGATTGCCTAAATGAACAGCATATTTTCATTCTATCAACTATCCCTTCAGGAAAACTGCAACTGGAGCACACTCTTCATTTCTCCGAAAATGCTAAAATAATCTCTTGCATGAAGCTTGCCAGGTGATTATACCGCCAGTAGATTCCCAATTGTGTTCAGACGGCTTCAGTCAAAAGTAGGATTGATTTGAATCCGGTAATTAGCCTCTGGATATTCAAGCTATATCCTGAAGAGGGGCATATATATCTAGTCTCTCAGCTGGCATGTCCGGAACATTTCCCTTCTCAGCTGGAGCTATTTACAGGGTTAAAGCTGCAGAGAGCGGAGGAGTGTGAACATGATGCTAATGGTGATCGCGTCCTCCTCCAGCTCAGCTGCTCAATAAAGACAATCTCAGATAGCTGGAGAGACACTTGTGTATTTGACCGGCTAAATACTTGCACTCGCTCATAAATTGACGTTCTCTTCAACAACAGCGTGTTGAGGAGGTACTCTTATCAGTGTTTACTGCAACAATATTTAGAAATATACACCATTCAAAGATTTGGGGTTGCTTCGATTTTTGAAAGAAGCCTCTTATGCTCACCCATTTTCAGCGTCATTACTCCAGTCCACAGTGTCACATGATCCTTCAGAAATCATTCTAATATGCTGATTATTGTTTGCAATGTTGAAAACAAACAGTTGAGCTGCTTTATATTTCTGGGGATACATTTGTGTCTAATAACATTTTTAGAATTTATATGAAATTTGTATAACATTAGAAATGTCTTTACTTGATCAATTTTAAATGTATGCATCCTTGCTCAAGAAAATTGTACATTTCTTTTTAGAAAAATACAGAGATTCTTACTGACTTAAACCTTACGATAGTTTATATAGAGAAAATGAACACATCTTGAATCAGCTTGGTATAATTTTTGGCCACTTTTTGGAGCCTTTTTTGCAACGAGATAGATCTAGCGCTTGGTTTGGTGTTTTATCTGATGTAATGAAATTCACAGTGTGCTGTCCAATTTGATTGGTCTGCTTCTTTTTAATGGATTGGTTGAACCGATTGGCGAAACAGTTTGAATCAATCTCCTGAGTCACTTCCTCCTTGATTGGATTGAATGACTCTGATCATTAAACCGGATGTTATTACTGTATGTCCAATCCAATATAAGCTTGAAACCATTAATGTTATTTTTACTTTTTTTTAAATAAATAAAAAAAAAAATGCTACTTTGATTGAAATCAATCATATCACTTACTAGTTGTCCACCTGACAGCAGGAAGTTAAAGGTGAAGTGTGTAATTTCTTCACCATAATAGAGACCCCAAATGAAATAATGACCGTTTTCGAACAGGTTTTCTTGGGAAACTCCCGCTGTCTGCCTTTGCTCGGGTAAACGGATGGATTCACTCTGTCACTCTGGCGGTGCTGTGCCAGGATGCTAACACAAACAGAGCAATGTTTTGATAGGCACAGAGTCACAGTGTTCTGACAGGCGTCTGACAAGCCCCTGTATCTCTAGTCTAATACAACTTGTTAGTTTTGCTAAATACTCCATGTTCTCGAAATGTTGAAAGCGTTATTGTTGTTGCTCATTTTAACTACAGTGCAAATGATCTGGGATAACGGTCATGAGTGATGTTTGATGGTCATGTCTAAAATTGTCTTAACAAATCATTTTAGCGAGTTTTGTGGTCCAGAACTGTCCGACCGATATGTAAAATGACCAGTTACAGCTTGGTTTTGTTTTTATGTACAATTTTGAGAAGATTTATCTGAAATAGCTCAATATTAAAGAAATAGACGTAACTCAACATATTCCGTCTTTTTCAAATATTTCTAATGTGGCAAAATTTAGCTAATCCACTAAAGGAGTAATTCACTTTTAAAAAAACTTTTGCTGATAATTTACTCACCCCATGTCATCCTAGATATCAATGTCATTCTTTCTTCAGTCGAAAAGAAATTAAGGTTTTTGATGAAAACATTCCAGCATTTTTCTCCATATAATGGACTTCAATGGGAACCAAACGGTTCAAGGTCCAAAAGACAGTTTCAGTGCAAACTGTTCAAAGGGATTTAAACAATTCCAGACGATGAATAAGGGTCTTATCAAGCGAAACAATCACTCATTAAAAAAAAAAAAAAAAGTTTAAGTTTTATAAGCTCAAATGCTCGCCTTGCTTTGTTCTGTGATGTGTCGTCGTGACTCTCCTGTTCGAACTCGTTTATCAAAATAACAAATCTTTTTTCGTGTCATTTGGTTAATTCAACGAACGAAATGAACGAATTGACTCGGGAAAAGATTCGTTCGTTTCAGATCACACGCATCACAGAACAGAGCAAGGTGACCATTTGAGCTTATAAAACTTAAATTTTGTTATTTTGTCTTTTAAATGAGTGATCTTTTCGCTTGATAAGACCCATATTCATCATCTGGAATCATTTAAAGCCCTTTAAACAGTTTGCAGTTTGCACTGAAACTGTCTTTTGGACCTTGAACCTTTTGGTTCCCATTGAAGTCCATTATATGTAGAAAAATGATGAATGTTTTCATCAAAAACGTTAATTTCTTTTCAACTAAAGAAAGAAAGACATGGATATCTTGGATGGCATGGGGGTGAGTTAATTGTCAGCAAAAGTTTTTTTTAAAGTGAACTACTCCTTTAATTTTTCCTCTTAAGTGCTCACAGACACTGGGTAGTTTGCAAGTTCTTTGTTTCTTTGCTAAAACACATCTGAGAATCATAATGGATGATTCTCATGGAAGTCTCAATGGCCTACCGTCAACTGTATGGTTACCAACATTCTTTAAAATATCTCTCACTATGTTCAACAGAAGAAAAAAGCTCATACAGGACTTGAACAGCATGAGGGAGAGTCAGCGATGACAAAATGTTTTGGGTGAATCATCCCTTTAAGGCAAATGCTGGAGAGTTTGACAAACAGACAAACCATCACTGACTCTACAAGGAAACATCTGTTGTTTTCAAGAAATCCCACTGTCACATGACTACTGTCATTCAGAATCTGCTGTGTGGCCATGTGACATGACGTCTATGAAATAATAATAGAGTGCAATAATGTTCTTTAGCATCTGCCGCGTGAGCAATCGAAAGCCCCCGTCTCGCCATAACCTGCCTCGCTGTAGCCGCACGCGGTGGCAGATTGATTCCATCACGCACTGATTAAAATTGATCTGCTACTTGTTTTATTTTTACCAGGCAGACTTGGCATCTGCTTCACTCCGACAGCCGGAGAGTGACGCGTACAATATTGCTTCATGGCCATGGTTCTGACACAGATCGATGTAAATATTGTATCGCTATCTGCTACAAGCCAAACTTGGACTGTCCCTGCTTTTGATAGAAATATTTATTGGGTGTTTGTGGTTCAGTGCTCAAGCAGAGAGAGTTTTTTTTTCCTCCCCAGCGTGTCACTGTGCTAAAGCCAAAACCAAGCTGATACTCATCATATTTGGCTCAGAGTAAAAGATATGGTAAAAACCCTTGAGAGAGCCTGTGCGTGGTAATGAATGCTGCCAAACAAGAACACGCTGACAATTGCACATGTTTTGTTTTTGCCTGTCCCTCAGAACCATCTGTATGATTGCTTTCTACTGTTTTTTAGGATGGCACAGTTTCAAAATAGGACAACAGATTGTTTTGAAATGCATTAAAAGCTTGTCTGGGTGAATCATATTTTGCCTAATTTTGGGTCCATTAACATATTTTGCCTTGTGACTTTTATTTTCATGACAGTTAAATACATTTAACGCCCAAATTTCCATTGTACGGAGCCCCTCTAGTCCCACTTTGGTAAAAAAAATTAATTATAACTATCTTGTGGCCTCAAGATAGTAACTCGTGGCCTCAAGATACTAACTCGTGGCCTCAAGATACTAACTCGTGGCCACAAGATACTAACTCGTGGCCTCAAGATAGTAACTCGTGGCCTCAAGATAGTAACTCGTGGCCACAAGATAGTAACTCGTGGCCTCAAGATAGTAACTCGTGGCCTCAAGATAGTAACTCGTGGCCTCAAGATAGTAACTCGTGGCCACAAGATAGTAACTCGTGGCCACAAGATAGTAACTCGTGGCCACAAGATACTAACTCGTGGCCACAAGATACTAACTCGTGGCCTCAAGATAGTAACTCGTGGCCTCAAGATAGTAACTCGTGGCCTCAAGATAGTAACTCGTGGCCTCAAGATAGTAACTCGTGGCCTCAAGATAGTAACTCGTGGCCACAAGATACTAACTCGTGGCCACAAGATACTAACTCGTGGCCTCAAGATAGTAACTCGTGGCCTCAAGATAGTAACTCGTGGCCTCAAGATAGTAACTCGTGGCCTCAAGATAGTAACTCGTGGCCTCAAGATAGTAACTCGTGGCCACAAGATACTAACTCGTGGCCTCAAGATAGTAACTCGTGGCCACAAGATACTAACTCGTGGCCACAAGATACTAACTCGTGGCCTCAAGATAGTAACTCATGGCCACAAGATACTAACTCGTGGCCTCAAGATACTAACTCGTGGCCACAAGATACTAACTCGTGGCCACAAGATACTAACTCGTGGCCTCAAGATAGTAACTCGTGGCCTCAAGATACTAACTCGTGGCCTCAAGATAGTAACTCGTGGCCTCAAGATAGTAACTCGTGGCCTCAAGATACTAACTCGTGGCCTCAAGATACTAACTCGTGGCCTCAAGATACTAACTCGTGGCCACAAGATAGTAACTCGTGGCCACAAGATAGTAACTCGTGGCCTCAAGATAGTAACTCGTGGCCACAAGATACTAACTCGTGGCCACAAGATACTAACTCGTGGCCTCAAGATAGTAACTCGTGGCCTCAAGATAGAGTTAGTATCTCGTGGCCACAAGTTACTATCTTGTGGCCACGAGTTACTATCTTGAGGCCACGAGTTAGTATCTTGAGGCCACGAGTTAGTATCTTGTGGCCACGAGTTACTATCTTGAGGCCACAAGATAGTTATAATTAATTTTTTTTTACCAAAGTGGGACTAGAGGGGCTCCGTATTATTTTGAATATATTTGTAAAATTGTTAAATTGGAATATATTTTTAAATCAATGTAATATTTAATTATAATAATGAATATTTAGTATTTTAATGTGCTTGAATTAAAGGCAATACAACAAATACTACTTTGATGATGTACTGTATGACTAAATAATAATGAATATCTTTTTATTTTTTAGCATTACAGTTATCAGATTTAATTGCATTACTTTATTACGAATAATGGGGGAAATGTACCCCCATATAAAAATGTAAAAATCCTTAAAAATAGGCTTGAATTTCTGACCTACATGTGAGGTTACGGTCAAATCCACTTACACCAGACGTTTTGATAACATAAATTATGAATTTGGAAGTGAAAATTGGTCAAACCCCCCTGGTACTCTGGATTTATTTTTAAATACTGTTTAACAATTTAAATTAAAGGCATATATAGTTTCAACTTTCACAGATGAAAATATTTTCATCAGCTCAACTTGAACATGTTGCCCTGGTTTTCAGATGCATTAACAAATTAGTTTTACAGCATACACAGTAAAAATAATCAAGCTAATGTACATGAAGCCATCATGATAATATTTCTGGATAATGGCTGATTGCAGCCAAGCTTAAACAATACAGTAACAGCTATTACATATATTTTTTTGAAATACTCGTTAATGTGCAAAGGTGAACTATGAAGATCAACATGTAAGGCACTAGAAGAATGGTTGATGAATTTGAAACATGTTGTTGACACCATGTGTTGTGCTTCAGGTTCAGAGGTGGAGAAGGAGATGTGTGCGGATGCGGTCTACCCTGCACCCGTGTCCTGTAAGGTTCCCTGCCCTAAAGACTGTGCTCTCAGTCTCTGGACTGAATGGTCCACCTGCTCCCAGACCTGCTCCAGCAAAACCGCCGAGGGCAAGCAGATGAGAACCAGAGCCATACTGGCTTACAATGCAGGAGAAGGTACAGAAAATATTACATGGGTACTTGCATGTTTTCATTTCAGCAGTGCTAAACTCACACAAAATCCAAATCTAAATATTAAGTAATATTGTTATTTATATTTTATGCATTGAATACATTGTATACATATATGTATGTATGTATATATAGGGCTGTGCAAAAGTTAATTGCGATTAATCGCATCCAAAATAAAAGTCTGTTTTACATAATATATTTGTGTGTGCTGTATATAATTATTTTGTATATGTAAATACCTATGCATGCATGTATATATTTAAGAATTATTTGCGCTTAAATTCTGTATATATGTATATATACATAATCCATATTATATAAATATAAATATTTTATACATGAATAATAACACATTTTCTTAAATATTTACATGCATGTGTGTGTATTTATATATACAAAATAATTATATACAGCACACACAAATATAATATGTAAACACAGACTTTTATTTTGGATGCGATTAATCGCAATTAATTTTTGCACAGCTCTAATATATATATATAGTTATGTTATTATTATAATTATAACATAACTAAATATTTATGCATATAACAAATATAATGTATATTTATCAACTTACTAATTGATTATCATGCATATATTATTAATGTAAATATGGCTTAGAAAAAATAAGTTAGTTGTGAGTAAAGCTCCAGCATCATTTGCGCATGCCATGGGATGTGGTCCAAAGTGTGACTTAAGAGTCTAATTACTCTTCTGGGCGACTGTAACAAACTGACTTGCAAAAAGCTTGTGATTTTCTATGGTCTGTAGTGCATGAGATTAGCCTAAAAAAAGCTGACAGGAAACTGTCAAGGAAAGACTCACACAAGGGCAGAATTTCTCAACCTAAACCCGTCTGAGATTCTGATGGATGGCTCCTCGCTCTCGCAGAAACGTCACATCACCGAGAGTCAGTGTTCCAAAACTCTTAAATCCACTTTATCTGTTCCAGCCGGGTTTAGTATCAGTTTACACGAGTAAGCTTCTGAGGTAGATGGTGTTCAAGTACAAGTCAAATACAGTTCACAACCCTGTAGTCTGATGTATTTCAGAAGAAAATTCAACAAATCTGATTATCATCCATCAGGAATGAAGCAGGTGTTAGATGCCGGAATGGAAGGCTTACGAAAATAACAGTCTGAATGTTTTTAACCCTGTAAAATCTGACATGAAAATAGTCAGAATAGTTCTTTTTTTATATATTTTTTTTTATTTATTGAACCTTTAGACAAAAAAAGTACATCAGGCTTTTATGGCTCAGTGAGAATATGGAGCTCATACACCTCAAAAACATGAAACTGAGTAAAAATATGCAGTTTGGTGCAGCTGCTCATATTTATATGTAAAAACTTAATAATTTGATAGCTTGTAAATCTATCTAGTAAATCTAGATTTGCCGACTACTTCTATAAAATGCATATAAATATCAAGTCGTCACTCTATATCTGCCTACGATATGTCTTGTGATACGAAATGCTTCGTTTTCTAATCATACTCTGTAGTTTTTACATAGAATTCAATGATGATTGAGAGACGAACAAATAAACATTTCTCAAAAGCCTGATGGGTCATATTTGATGCTAACATTTTAACATGATTTTAGCAAAATTGCATTTATAGGCCTTATAAAATTGAGTATATTGAATATGTTGCAGCAGACTTTATAGGGTTAAAAGTAATGCATTATCACTGTTTTCCTATACCTCTCAGAGAAGTCTATATCCAATTATCGCTGTGCTTTCTCTACAGTGACGTCAATGGTAGTCGCATGGATTACAGTTATGGAGGGTAACACGTCAAAACACCTCGTGTTTTTAGGGCCTGTAGAGTAGTTTCATGTAGAAGTCATCTTAGATTTGTTTGTGTGGTTTGAAGTGGCCGCTAAGTCTAACTGCTGATTGTTTTACCATTCCTCAAAAATGTGTAATGATAAAACATTTACTTTCTACTAGTTGAGTAGTTCCTGAAATATTTACTCCCTTATTGCTGATTCTCATGTCTAAAGATGAATACCAAGACATTCATAACTTTTGCTTTATCTCAAGGTCTTACAAGGGTTCCAAAGTTTCCCGAACTTTATGGTACATTTGAGTCTTTTCATCTAAAGTGTGCAGTGTGTAGATTTAGATGTGTTGTAGAGCTAGAATGTGTTAATGGAGTCTTATATTCATAGTTTAATCTTATATCCACAAAGAACATTAATGAAGAAAGTCTTTAACTTTCAGCGATGGGCTTTGGGAGGCAGCTAGATCTATCTGAAGATGAGTATATTCACCATGCTTTCTGTTCAAGACATCTGCTTGACATCTGCCATGAGATGCCAAATGCAGCAGTTCATGCAGCAAGACCTTATACATAATGCATGTCCTTGAGAGTCCATTTGTGAACTCGGCATAATGATGAAAGTCATACTGTAAACAGGGAGCAAAAAACATAGACCTCTGAGTCTCTTATGAAACTGCTGTAGCACATTACAAAAGGCCAGAAACGTACTTTACAGAAGTACATGCATTAATGGAAACTCAAGCACATTGTTGAGTTCTGAAATTTAGAATATTCAGAATGCAGTTCCCAGCGCATTCTCACTGTTGCCACACGGGGCGGTGTTGCGAACATTAGTATTAATGCTTTCTTCCATGTCATGATGGAGTTAAAGTTTGATCTTAAAGGGATAGTTCACCCAATTATGTCATTAATTTTTCACCCTCATGTCATTCCATGCAAACACATAATACTTTCGTTCATCTTCAGAACGCAAATGAAAGTCCATGTGTCTAATGAAGTCTAACATGTATTGAACAATTTAGTTGACATTTCTCAATCGCTTTATATGATGAACAGATTGAATTTAGGCTTAAAACCATGGAAACCAATTGGGACAATCAAAAAGCAATCAGTACTTTACTCTTAAAGGGATAGTTTGCTAAAAAATGAAATTCATTATGTATAAGTTGTTCCAAACCTGTATGAGTTTCTTACTTCTGCTGAAAATTATATATATATATATAATTAGGGCTGTCAGTTTAACGCGAACCCATTTTAACGGTTTTTTTTTTTCCGATTAACTGCCTTTTTCGCCTAGTTACTTTGTAGTTTTTTTCACATACTTTTGCAACATGACGCGGCATGCGCGGCACTGCGCTCTGAAACCCTTTAATTTCAGTGGCTTGCGCCACGCAAGGACCTTTTGTTGCTTCGCCGACCAAAGCGCAAGCGGATTTAGCTAGACCGGAAACAAAACAACAGGAACGACGCCGTACACACTTGTTTGGGCTTGCGAGCCGGCCAAATAGTAGGTTAATGTTACGTTTTGAGTGGATGACGAGCGCGAGACGACAAAATGAATGCCAATAAGATTCTGAGACCAAAGTGATCTGTGTGTTTTGTCATTGTGAACTGAGATAGCACGTACAGTCTGAAATACCACTTGATGATGGCCAAGCACACACACACACACACAGATAATGCGAATTTAATAAAATTTAAATAATGCGATTAATCATGGTTAAATATTTTAATCGTTTGACAGCACTAATATAAGAGTTCAGATGCAAAAGCCTCTAAATGCCATTTGAAATTTTCTTCTTTAATGATGATTTTTATCAAGCTTGTATATTTAAGTTCAGTAATTTCACTTAAATAACAATTAATAGGTAATTATTATTGCCATTTAAGTGAAATCACTGAACTTAAATATACAAGCTTGATAAAAATGATTCTAGAAGAAAATTTCAAATGGAACTCTTCATATATATATATATATATATATATTTATATATATATATATTTATATATATATATATTGAAGAATATGGGTAACCAAACATTTAATAGACCCCATTGACTTCCATACTATGGAAAAAAAGTCATTGGGGTCAATCAACTGTTTGGTTACACACATTCTTGAGTAAATGATGACAGAATTTTTATTTTTGGGTGAACTATCCCTTTAATATTATATATATATATATATATATATATATATATATATCAACTTACCACATCTACACACTCAAATCAATGCATCAAATGTTTATGCATTTTAACATTTATTCAAAATTGTATAATTCGTTGCCTTCTTTTTTAGAATATTAGTCGACAAATCCTAATTACTGTAGTGTTCTGTTTCTGTTCAGTGTTTGATTTGAGATCAGCGCTAAAGTAGCACAAAAATTCGTAATAAAAATGTTGCGTTGCGTATGTTTCTGGCTTAAAACCTTATCACGAGGTGTCATTTCAGGAAATCAATTCATTACAAAGAGCCACAGAAATAAACCAGCGAATGTGCATTCTTTGATTGCAGAACATCTTCTGAGAGGCTCAACATCAAGATTCTGTGGAGGCGTTCGCAACGCTGCATAGTCAAGCTTTACAGAGACACAAACGAGACCACAAATATTCATTCCGCTTTTCACACTTCTTAACCCTGGGATTTTTGTTCAGTGTTTTTCACACTGTTCGTACTTTACCCTGGGATATAATTAATGGTAGTAGTCAACAAGGTTTCACGCTGTACATTTGTAAACCCTGGCTTGTACTCTTATTTGCATAGTTATGAGTTTAATATTATTGATTTAGGAGTTTACTTCAGACGCTCAACAGTTTTACTTTCTGCTGTGCATGAATATTTTATGAGCTAAGCACTGAGGCAGTTTATGATTGGTTATCTGGTTCTCAACTGCAGTGATTCCATACTGTGTATGGGTGATTCTTCAGTCCATTCAAATTATTATTATTATTTTTTATTATTATTATTATTATTATTGTTTGCAGAAAAATCTTTTTTTTTAAAAGATCTTTTTACATAATAATTTGCCAAAATCTTTATCTCTTCGTACTTATTTTTATACTTTATCCTAAATGCTTTTCTAAGGAAAAACTATTTACATTACTTGTGCTTTTCATTCATTTTATTCATTCATTCATTTTTCAAAGAAGTTTATATTTGGTTATAAAGAAAATGACATGAAAAATCACCAAAT